GCAGAAAAATTAGGATTCAGGGAGGTCTTGAAAAGAAGACAATGTTATAACTGGATCAGAAAAGGTCACTAGGTGTAGAAAATAATGAAAGGAGATAAAGCGCCTCCACTACAAGGGGAGCTGCACATGCCTACATCTCACCACCTGAGGCTTAACTGGGAAGGCTGAAGTCAGTCAGGAAGACCTTAACATCCACGTTGAATGATATGAACTTCTCTGACAGTCAGTGTGGCATGATGGGAGATTTTGAGAGTGAGGTGTTAATCAAGACAATGGCATGTAACTACCAATTATGCAAGGGTTAGCCAAAAAAATGAACAAGTAATAGGTGACTACTTCCATAACTCTTGTGAGACCTCGTCAGAGTCCACGTTATAACCTATGGGAATAGCAGGATGAGTAGTGTTTCTATCCAGCCCCCTGAAGTGCAAACCAAGGAAACATCTATGCAAAGGAAACTATAAGCAAAATGCCAAACATTCAGAAATAAAAACTTAGCTTAAGTCATTGTTAGAATCACTACCAGAATTGGAAAATAATAATAATTAAATCATTTAGCCTCACCTCATTTTACAAGTATGTAACCAAATCTAAAGAGTTATGTAATTTGTTAAGAGATTCAAACAGTGGACGCCCACAGAAGACACTACAGTGTGGGTTTCTTCACTCTTAGACTGCCTTAGAGACTCTCCCTAAGAACAGCACAAGTTCTTAATAAGATGTGGTTACTTCATCAAACCCCCTCTGAATCATCTTTTATTCTTTTCTTATACATCTGAAGGCTTATCCTACTTTTGTTGGCCAGTGGCTCTTTTCCACTGAACTCTAAAGACAAAGTCTTTGGGCTGGGCACTTATATGGCATGCATATGGCCCAGGGAGAAAAATTATTTTTCTTTCTAAATGCGTTCAACTCAGTCCCTTAGCTATAAGTAATACCTCTGTGCAGAAGCATCTAGATCTAAGCCTCTGGCCATGACTTTTCTCTTCACACAGAGGCTACACTGACATCAACAATCAGATTCCCAAATGAAATGTATTCTTTTCTTCAGCTACCTCTAGGAGTTTCTTGGTTAGATTCAAGATAACCCAGTGAACTTATACTAGAAATTGTGGAATCATCTTTAATTCTATCTTCTCTTTCCTGTTACTTGAAAAATGCCTCTTGAACACACAACTTCCTTCCATTTGACTTAGATAGTCATGGTCCCAGCCTTCATTACCATCCCTGGACTACTATAATTCCATTCTAATGGAGCCCTGTGAGTCTTTTCTTACTCAGTTTTCAGAATACTTTTCATTTATCTTCTAAAATCCACATTCAAACCTGTCCTAGTTAAATGTCTCTTGACATCTCACTTCAAGTGTCTGAGGGGCTGCTTAGCTTTCTCTGAAAGTGGCCAGACAAGAAATAGTTCTAGCTCTGAAGATCACATTCTACTCAGCTACAGTACAGTCACACAACACACACACAATGGGTAACTGTGGCTAGGTCACACAAAATTTCATTTACCGATAAGTCATCTTTATGTGTTGCAAAATATTATTTTTAACTGCCCCAACTATTTAAAAAGTATAAAACTCAGGGCTGGAGAGATGGCTCAGTGGTTAAGAGCACTGACTGCTCTTGCAGAGTTCGATTCCCAGCACCCACATAGTGGCTACAAACCGTCCTTAACTCCAGTTCCAGGTGAATTCAAAGTTCTCTTCTGACTTCTGCGGCATTGCATGACACGGGTGCACTCACACACATGCAGGCAATACACTCATACACATAAAATAAAAAAATAAAAATGATAATAATTAAAAAAGTATAAAACTCATTCTTATCTCATGGATCAGATAAAAACAGAGAGCTGGTCAGATCTGGGCCATGGGCTATAGCTGTTGCCCCTGGCCTAAACAATCTTTTTGTCTCTTTTTACCAATTCTCTATATTACTGTCCACACTGCAGTATGAAGACCCCAATTTGGAGAGTCCATAATGTTGTCAGCAAACAGTTACTCTGAAAACCTCCAAGTTCCAGAATATGCCCCGCTACACTTCTCTGGTCCGTTCTCTGGTCTTAGGTCCCACTTACCCAAGTGTAGAGTTTGTGTTCTCTCTTATCTGTACCTTTGTAGACACTGGTCATCACCTGACTATCTACCCTATCTTTTTCTACTCTGGGAACTCTTAACATGAACTTACAAGCTGGTTCTCCTTCCTCTGTGCTTCTGCAGTAGCCCTGGATTCCAGACTGCACTGCTGTCACACCCTACTGGAATTGCATGGAAGAGCTGACTCCTTTAGTTTACTGTGAGCAACTGAAGGGCTGAAACTGAGTTTTATTTTTCTCTCTCTCTGCCTCACAATAGTAGGTGTTTAATAAATAATTATTTACTAAATAAGCAGTACACGTACAAGTTGAGTCCTTCAATACATGCCAGGTTCCTATCTTCCATCTTTAATTCAATTAAATAAGGACAAACATTTTTTTTTTAAAAAAGGTAGATGACTCTTTCAGATTAATCTATAGATTTCTACTCCTGATTATTGTTTGTGTTGGTCTGTTTTGTGACAGGGTCTCCCTGTAGCCCCAGTTTCCCTGAAACTCACTAGGTAGACCAGGCTGGCCTTGATCTCATAGTGATCCACTTGTCTCTGCCTACCCAGTGCTGGGATTAATGGCATGCACCACCACGCCCGACTCTACTCCTGTTTAAACTTTTCTTTGCCTCTATAGATTTGGCTCCTCAGTTTATCATTACTTCAAAGATCAATTTCATGTTTAATTTTTAACTTTGTTTAGAATATTCCACTCAAAATGTTTGAGAATGAGTGGGGAATGCTTATTTTCAGGGCATTATGAACTTCAATTGATATCCACCAAAAGAGAAAGATGCAATGTTTCCCAGTCACACATCTGGATATACCGAATGAGGAAAGAATGGCAAAGGCTAGAATCTCTAAAAAATAGGTTATCAGAAATACTAGTCCAACAGTCAAGGCTAATTTTCAGTGTAAAGGAGAAACACGCCTGGTTCCTGTCATTTTTAAATTTATGATTACGGGTATAAAACAGGAGCATAAATGAAGCATAAAATGCTTATAAAAGTACTATGCTTTAAAAATAGTTAAGTTTTATTCCCATAAAACCAAGTTTAAATTTTTTGTAGAATTTGTGTAAGTAAAGCTCAGTTAAAAAAAAGCTTTCCAGGGAACCAAGCAAAACAGTTAATCTTAAGAACAAAGGAATTCACTACCACGCGTTCACTTTCAGCAGTTACTGCATCTTAATCTCCTCTACTTGCAAGAAATTGATCTTGTCAAATAGCACAGATTGATACTTAGGGAAGCTCTCTGTGGACTTCCCTCCAGAAATTAACTCTGAACAAGACAGACTTACAAAAGGGGCAAAACCAGCATTAATATTTATTTACCGAAGCTCAGTCACACCAAGACATTAAAAGCTGTCCCGTTTCTGTGGTTTAGTAGTGCACAGAACACAAATGGCTGGTTCTCAATAGTAGTCTGACAGAAAAGAAAAACTAGTAACATTATCATGATGAAGCTAAAGTCTAAAAATCTAGGATTAAATAACTACAGGGGCTATGTTAATAGCATGTTCTCAGTTCCACAATGACAATACTTTAAATAGGTATTAAAAGAACAGCTATTATTCTGCAGTATTAAACAATTTTTTTCTCATAAAGTGTTTCATCTGTTAGGTCTCTTCCCCAAGATCATACACATATAAATGATTCTTTTCTCTCTTTCCTTTTCCTTTTTTCTCCTTCCCCTCTCTCTCTCGTGCCTAAATAGGAAGGTGTCAAACCATTTGGAAGATTATCATAACAAAATGTTTTTAACAAAGTTTGATTTTAACAGAACTGGAGGCATCTTAACACTAACCCAAAACTTTGGGAGGTTCACCAACCTCTAGAATGTTTTTTTCTCAAACGCAGGCTGTTCAAGTGGTGCTTTTCTCCATCTGTCATCATACCGTGCTCAGAATTACATTGTCATATTTAATGTAAAAGGGATCAGTCCCCTTTCATGGTTTAAATTCAACACAGAACTATAATTGGAAGACCAGTGTTTTTCTATTTTATAAACTAAATCAAATATCATAAGCTTACATGTGTATTTGGACAAAATTCTTTCTAAAAACTGAAAAACTCTAAGAACTGAACAAACCCAGAGGCTTGATATGAAAACTGAGAAACTATTCTAATATCAAAGTGAGGAGAGATCAGTGAAATAAACGGTAGAGTGAAGTGTCCACTGTCCACCTCAATGCTCCTTTCTGTGTATGAGTTCATGCATGTGCACAGGATGTGTGTATGTTTTTAAACCAGTAAACCCACGATGCCTGCAACCTTGTGTCTTTTTAATTTATGACTGAGCTATATGCTAACTTAAATTCACAACAATGATGACTATATCACAATATCTCATGATCGAAACAAAGCGATTTTAAACCCTGGTAGAGTAAACTTGCTTATTATAATGATTTGAACATGAAGAGTGCCAATCAATTTCATCTCTAAATTTTACACCTCCTTAGGAAACAGACTCCTTATTTTGTATCAGCTCCATTTCAATTTGCATCTTAGCAATTCTTTTAATTTTCTTTCTTTCATTACTGACAATATCTGGTTATTTTCCTAAAAATATTCCTCAGATTCTTCATTTCAACATTTGTATTAAAAGCACAGAATTAACAGGAGAGATAGTGGTGGTGGTGGGAGAAATATGTCATCTTGCTTATACTGATAAAGAATCACCTAAATATTTGAGCACTACAGACAAACGGTGTTGTAATTTATCAGTAACTCCCTGCCACACTCATCACTCACATGTCTGGGTGTTTTGCCACATCTCCACTTTCTGTAATATGCCTGAAAGCTGTGTGTGAATTGAATGACTAAGACTAACACTAACAACTGTTTGGAAGCCTGTGGCAGCAATCACTGGGACCCACTGGGTGCTGGGTGCATAATGGGATTAGGGTGTACCTGGTGAGGTGCAGTTGGTGCTCGGACGCGCCCAGCAGCTCTGTTGCGTGCAGGCACTCCTCTCTGGCCCGAGCTGCCTTCTGCTGCTCCTGTTCCACATGCTGCTTGCTTTCGCTCAGCTCTAGTCTCAATTTCTCTATTTCCTTGGGGAGACAGAGGAGAAAAAAAATCCACATCAAATATATGCACTTGAATTCAAAATTAGCTCGATTTAATTTTTGTCACATATTTTAATACCAGGGAAAATTATTGGAAAATTTAGGCTAGTTTCAATTCCTGAAAAAAGGAAATTGGCACATCTACAAATCCACATGCGTGAGGTGGCCCTGCATTGTACGAAGACTGATTTAAAATATGAAGCATTTAAACGCAAGTAGTGAAGAGAGTTGACAATCTACTTTCAATCTAAGGCTTGTTCTCCTTAAAAAGTCATCATAACCTAAAATGCCACTACCTTTAAAATGTAACGTTGTTGTTTAACAGATTTGATCGGACACAAACTGTGCTTTGATCAAATATGTGACTTTTTACTCAGAAAGACAAATTTACGGCCCTATTTGGATGTTATTAAAATAAAATTAAAGGTTAAAAACAATTGTTTTGATGAAAATATCAAGTCTTAAAGAAGGCATCATTACGTTGCTTAATATTATGTGGAAACAAAAATTCAGGAAAAATACAGCATAAGAACCTTTAGCCTGAGACTGTATGAGATTTCAGAGTTCTTACATCAACATTTGTATTTTAAAAGGTAGTAAGAGCACTCTAAGATTATTGAATATGACATATAAATATATGAAAATTTACAGTAGTTTATTATTTTAAGAAACTGTCCTCGTATTACTGATATTCAAACATTTTAAAGCAAAAACAACTTAAACTGAACATATTTTGGAAAGTTTATGAATTAAAGTAAAATATGTCATAGACTAGAACATATAAAATTAAACAAAACAAAAAACCTGAACATTAAAAAATATTTAGACTATAAAAACAAGAAAAACAAAAATGGTCACAGAAATCTGCAACTCCACACACAAAAAGCAAGTAGCAATACTGTCACACACAAATGTAACATGCTTCCATGTTTAGGTCATTTTAAGCTCAGTATTTAAACATATTTTTAAATTTTCTTATGTCATTACTCAATATTCTAAATGATCTCCAACTGCTTTTCATACATCATATAAGATAAAGCGAACACTTCATTGATATTTTTTTTCATATTTATAATACTATATTCAGTTTATCCCCATCAAAATTATATATTATCAACAATATGATAAAGAAACTCAAGTTCTCAATTATTATTTTATTTTTAAAAAACTATATATCAATGAATATATTACTTTTATTCAGAGTAGATTTTTGCATCTTTCAGACTGGAATAAGTAAATGAAACTGATTTATTTCTTAAATTTTGATAAATATGATTGATTTAGAGAATTCCTATATCTCCTAGACTCAGGAGTTCATCTGGGTAAATGACACACATGTACCACACACATACACACACACACACACACACACACACACACACACACACAGGGTATCAAAACACAATGCATACAAAAAACAACAAATGAAATGTAGAGAAAATTCATGCCTCAAAAGCCAGAAGAGGGCTAGATCAGTATGGGCAAGAGATGTGGGAAAAGAATGTGAAATCATAAAAACTCCTGGGTGGTAGATTAGATCATATTATCAGAGTCCATGAACTGTAGATTAATACAATTGTATATGTTTTATAAATAATAGGAGACAATGACTTAAACACACATACAATATGAAAAGGTGATTTTTAAAATCTGGATCAATGTGAATGATCAATTTTAGGTGGCAAGGAATGGCAAGTGGGAAACCCTGAAGAGAGCTGCAATATTCCAGACAGGACAGGAGCAGCAGAGACTTAAAAACAGAAATCCAGAGAACATGATGATTTTGTGTAACAAAGAGTTGCATGGCGCTCTGGAGATGACTCACTGAGTAAAGTGCTTGCAGTATAAGCATGAGCACATGAGTTCAGATCCCTAGAACCCATGTAAAACCAGGAGGTGCTCACCTGTAACCCCAGCACTTGGGGAGGTAGAGACAGGATTCCAGAGGCTTGCTGGCCAGCCAGTCTAGACCAAGGGGCAAATTCCAGGAAAGCAAGCACCTATCTCAAAAAAATAAGTCGAAGAGCAATCGAGGAAGACACCTGACATTGACCTCTGGCATGCACGCACAAACACAAAGAGATATATCAAAAGAACAAAGGTGACTCCAGCATATTGAATTAAGAACATACGAAAGAAAGAAAGAAAACAAAATTCCAGACTTCCTCAAAAAGAACAGATTTGATTTTTATAAGCATTACTCAATAACAACATAGGTACCTTATACCAGTAACTGTTTTTAATTTTATATCATCTGTTTTCTTAATTCTCACATAGTAAAAAGAAGCTGACTAAAAGTCAGTAAAACATAGAGGTGAAGCATATAGATTCAAGAAGCCAACAAAAACCAGGGCTTCAGGCACTTTTCATATCTGTGCCCTTGGACAAGTCACTCAATTATCATATACTTTCTTCAATCTAAAATGAAAGAGGTCATTGTAGCTAGCTCCAAAAACTGCAGTAAAGACTGCATGGGATGAAAGCAGAAAACAATGACCTACCTAAGGATATAAGTCTATTCCCAAGGTATTCCTGATTGCGGGTTGAGGGGTGCAGCACTGCAGGACTGCACCTGCCTAGCATGTGTGTTTTGCCTCCAGCACTAAAAACCAACAAAACAATTTAATAAAAATTCTCCCTTCTCTATAAAAACAGTATCTTGGTATAAACTGAATAAAATTTTATCTATTGTAATTTTGAAATACAAAAATCACTTTTTTTAGGAAGATGGAAAATTACTGCCTGCTTCTGATTACACGTGCCAACGAAAGAGCTTATTGGTATAGATAATCAAAACCAACAAATAATCTACCCAGCTGCATCAAGGCTCAACACTTAACTCCCTGAGTCAGGAAAATCTGCCATGGCACCAACTCCAACAGTTAGAAGAGAAAGCTCTAGCCAGAAATGCCATGCTTCCACTGGCAGAATAACCCTGTGCTTTACCCAACTAGGTCAGGGCTGCTTCTTGGCTGCAGATTAGAGGCTCAGAGATGAAAGACCAATGACAGTTATAGGCCAAATGTACATTCCTCTCAAAGTATACCATTAACCTGATGCCTACAATGCTGTCTGACATAGCCATCTTTTGGCTGAGTGAAGGGAGGTCTACATAGCTTTACACCTCACCAAAAGACAGACCTCAAGTCATAAATGTGGGGCTGGAAGTGCAGTTCACTGGTAAACATTTGTCTAGCATATGCTGGGCCCTTCCTACTATCTCCAGACCAAAAAATACAATAGAACAAAATCTTGAATATAATCACCAGAATGACAATAAGTCAAAGCTGTTAGAAATGGCTATTTTAGCAGATTAGTGGCAGGGATAGGCATGATGATGAGGACACTACATTGCTTAAAGACTTTTCTTAGTCATATATATAGCTTTATATTTACTATTAAGTTTTCTTATCAAAGTAATCACCTAATTTAAGTCATATTGTAGTCAATTGCTCATATTATTGACTCTTCTGATAATTATTTTCATAATTTTAAATGACACACATATATACATATATATACATATATATATTCTTTGATTTTGCAGTATAAGGCATTAGCTATCATCTTTTCATGTTAGGGTGAAAACCCTGACATGGTGGCATGTATCTACAGTCCTAGCTACTCCGGAAGCTGAGGCAGGAGGATCACCTGAGTCCAGGGACTCTGCACCAGCCTACACATCACTTTACATAGCCAACCATGGTCTCGGACAACCTTAGTTATCAGTCAGTAGTTCACTTATAATGAAATGTTTCATTATAATGAAAATGTTTTTTCTACTGAGACAACCATTATTTTCTTAAAGTTAATTTTCTTATATATTATTTTTATTATTTCTGGGATTAATTGTCTAGTAACTTTTGTGGATTTGCCTGCCTGTTTTTGAGCTAGGGGTCTTGCTACATTGCCAAGAATGGCCTCAAACTACTGAATACAAATGATCCTCCCCGTCCCAGTTGGGAATACAGGTTTGTGTCACCACTCTGGTTGCCCTTTTTCATTTGTTTGTTTGTTGAGAAAGGGTCTCCCTGTAGCTCCCAGCTTACCTGAAACTCACTATGTAGACCAGACTGGTCTGGATCTCACAGAGATCTGCCTGCCTCTGCCTGCCAGTGTTGGAATTAAAGGCATGCACCACCACACCTGGCTGGTTGCCCATTTTTAATAGTTTATTTTTTAAATTTTTTAATAGGTTTTTTTAAGCAACTGACATTTTTACACAGGCATTCAAACATAACTGTCAAATAGTCATTAGTATTTTTCAAATAATTATCAAGTTTAAATCTTTTCCCCTAGGATGTATCTATGGTGCCTTCATTCTGGCCTTTTTGATCTGTCTTGTATATACTTTTTAAGTCTTCCCTAATGCTCCATGAAAGTCCCAAATAATTCTATGTTAAAGTTTGGGGCTACAGGGAGACCCTATCTCAAAAAAACCAAAAAAAAAAAAACCAAAAAAAAAAAAAAAAGTACACACTCCAGGGAGTTTTCCTAAGAAAGAATATATAAAAATACAACTACATATTTCTTAAAAAGCCGCTCTTCTATAGATAAATGCAATACTTTGGTTTTGTATAAAATTCTATTTTGATGTTAATTTTCACTCAGAATATTTAAAACTCTACTTCACTATCTTCAAGATTTCAATATTACAATTGGAAAGCCGTTCTGATTCCCAGTATGTGGTCTGACTTGTCTCTTCTCTTCCTGGATTTTTTTTTTGGGGGGGGGGATTCTTTTTGAGACAGCCCCAGCTGTCCTGGAACTCACTATGTAGACCAGGCTGGCCTTGAACTCACAGAGATCCGCCTGCCTCTGCCTCCCAAGTGGTGGGATTAAAGGCCACGCTCAGCTCTTGCTGAAAATTTTTATCAACCATCTCTTTCCCCAGTCATTTTGTGATTTTACAATGCTTGACCTTGGGCTGGGTTGTACTGCTTGTGTCTGTTTTCAGTGGCCCTTTTCAATTTGGAGGCCTATTT